CTCAGGACCTCGCACTTGCCAGGCAGGCACCATTCATTCCTAAATCTTGTCCCTTTTCTCAGTGAATGGCTTTCTACTCCTGTGAACCAGAAATTCCATATATCACATCTGGTGTAGCTGGTGTAAGACACATGCCATTTTACCTCCTCTATTACATTTTACAAAAGTCATGTGGGTTAATCTTGCAGATAAAGAAGTAACCTATTTATATTAGATGGAAAAGTCATGATTTGAGCTCAGATTTAAATTAACATTGCAATCCAGGTTCTCTAATTAATTTTCATGTCACGTAAAAACAGGGTTGCTGTCAGTGGAAGTTGGCAAGAAATATTAAGTTTTAAAGAGGTAAATAGAACACAGGATGCGACTAATTCAATTCATACCAAAACCAGCAAATGACAATGCTTACTTCTAGATCCTTTGCTCTTGTTACATATGTGCACCTCATTCTGCCTACTTACTCATGTGACTGAATTATTTGCCCCAGCTGTGTCTCTTGGGTTCTGTTATTCTTGAACACACAGTTTCCTATGTTCCTCCACTGTAGTACTTGGCTACACTAGTCACAGCAGCTGTGAATTTCCAACACTCCCCTGGCATTTCAAGTACTGGCTTTGGCTCAGTGAGGTGTAATACTCACCTAGCAACAGAAAGCTATTTGGTTTCTAAGGAAAGTATCAGTCATTTCAAAATCATCAGTCACTGAAATTGCAAATATAATCTATGTGTTTCTTGACCACTGGTGACAAAATTTTCATATAAAACCTTCAAAGCTCAATGTCATGGGTATTCTAGTTCACCTAAATATCAGTCTGAAGTAGTAGAAAAATGTGGTAAAAGTTGATACTCAGGCTCTCTTCTTTTCCAGTCCTGCCTCTTCTCTGTAGCTACTTTTGTAGACCTTTGGAGCCTGTGTGCTACTGTATCCTTTGGAATTTCTGAATCTCACTGGTTTCCTGTTGCTTGTCCTCTTTGGATTCTTACTTTAAGATTAAGTGATGTCACTCTAATTTCTGCTGAGACTCTTTTTATTCTGGTTATCTATTACAAGTATTTCAATAGTTACATTCTTCAAAGCATTCATTTTCATTTTCTTTTGATTTTATCCATCTGGAGTGTGGCCAGAGTTTGGCTAGTGATTCTACTGCCTTATAAGACATTGAGGTCAGGCAGCAGATGCACTGCCCAGAGGGCCTCCTCCTGTGTCTGTTGCTTTTGCAGACTTGGCAGAAAGGCAGAACTCATGTAGGACAGATGACCAGAGTACTTTCCCATGCCCTCTCTAACAGGAACCTCTCTGTAGGTTTGAGCTGATACAAGAAAAGCACACCTCCTACAAAGAATATTCCAAAAGATTCTGGGCTGTATATCATTGCTGCCATTTCCCTTTGGTAAATACAGTCAAAAACCCACCCTCTAGATGAGGCATAGATCACACTCATTACTGGGAACACACAAAGTTTTGCAGCTACCTTTAATCTACTTTACTTCCCATTTTCCTCCCTAATATGTCTGTTTCTGTTCTTAATCTGAAACTTGACTCAGCTGACAATAATTATCGAAATCCTTGGTTCTAGTTTGATTTCATTTTTCATTTAGTAATGCACTTTATTTCCCTATTATTTAGTTGAGTATTGCTAGAACAGAGATCAGAAAGCAATACGAAGTCATTTTTAAATTATGAACTTTTTCCACCTGGCTTTGAATCTACTTCCACCCTTGGTAAATTATGACATCTTGAGTATCTTGAGCCTCCATGGTAAATTGAGAAATTAAAGTGTATATTATGCAGATATTGCAACTACCAAATGAGGTAATTATATAAAATGCTAAGCCTCATGCTTCATATTCAAGTGCTCTAATAAAATAATCAAGTTTGAACCTGAACTAGCCATTTAATATGCCTAGATATGCTCTTCTCTAGCTTTGTATTCTATGAATTTTGATGGATTGGTTTTTATTATAGTTATTGCTTGACACAGAAAAACGATAGAGATCAAAATCAGGAAAGGAAAAAGTTCCATAAGAGAAAGATCCAAAAGAACTCAGGAATGAGCTTCTAGTCACCTGTGGAGTGACTCGGAAATAAGTTTATTAAGATAAACTTATCTGGTCATACTGGATCAGCATGGCCCAGGACTCAGACTCACAGATACACTTTTATCAGGCTAAACTCTCCAACGCTGCAAAGATTACCTGTTTGGAGTATAAAGGGAGGACTTCCTACAGAGTGTTGGCTTGAAGTAAAGCCCGCTGAGCCCGCACTGTCCTTACCACACACTCATCGTTAGATGTGAATAACTGAATGATTGCAGGCCATGTGGTAACTATACATGCTTCTCAATTCTTTGTAAATCTAAAATCATCTTTAAAGTTAATATTAAAAACTCAAAATCCAATGGGGACAATATTTATACAGTTGATGCATATTCAGTCACATAGTAATTTAGCATTTGCATGAGTGGGAAGACATAATGCTGAAATGTCTTAAACAAGTACCTTTAAAATTTCTTTTCATTTAAAAAAAAATAAACTTTTTCCTAAACATCACTTCCTTTCATAAGAGACAAAAAAGTAGGGGAAAACTCAAAAATACAACTCATGCATGGATAAATGAAATGGAATTTTATTTGGTCATTAAAATGTATCTATATAGTACTGATAGGCGCTTCCCCATGGATGAAAACAAATATATTAAGTGAAAGAGGCCAGCACACACCCCATAGTCTACGATTTTATGAAATGTTGAGAATATGAGAATCTAGAGACAGAAAGTGTATCTGTAGCCTCCAGGGAAAAAAGAAGTGACCAAAAAATGGGCATGGGTTTTCTCTTTGTAGTGATAAAATGTCTCTGAATTAGTGGTAGCAGTTACATAGCCTTATACATATATTAAAACTCCCAAATTGTGCATTTTAGAAAAATTTTATCGTATATGAATTATATTTCAATTTTATAAAACTTGCTTTCTCACAAATTGTCAAATTTTACTAACATGTCTTTTCTGTACTACATGTGCAGACATATCCTATTTATTTTAAATAAATTCTAATATATTTGTGTTTCCTGTATACTTTCTTCACCTTTTTCAATTTTCCACAATCTACCATGAGTATCATAAGATTAAGATAATATGAACCCTCTTCTCACACTTGTCCTACTATTGTCAGAGAAATGAAATTCTCATTATGATTACCATGTGTTATTGGGTATTATGTGGGATAAAACAGATTGAATAGCTTAGATTTTACTGTCAATTTTGTCTTAACTGGAAATATAACCCAATACATAGATTTCTTCCCCTCTCAGACACCTTGATAAATTATTGCTATTAGTTACACAATAAAAGTTTGACTTAATTAAAAATAACAGGTTCGGGGGGCTGGGGATTTAGCTCAGTGGCATAAGCACCTGCCTTGCAAGCAGGCAGTCGTGAGTTCGATCCTTGGTACCGATAAAAATGAAAAAGACAAAAAAAAAAATCATATAAAAAAATAACAGGTTCGGGTGGTTATTTTGTTTTGCAGTTATATAATTGTGTACAGCCACTGACTTTATAGTTCATAAAAGTACACGTAGAAGTCCAGTTTTTAATATTGAAAACTTTTGCCTGATGGAACTGGATTATGTAGGTTATGACAGATATTTTATTGCTCTAACATAGTGTTTACCTTAAATACTACAGCATTTTTGTATCTTTATCAATGCTTTCATTTTTTTATCAACTGCATCTTAACTTTTGCTAGTATCAATCCATTCTGTAAACTTATTGATTTTCATATATTGCATATATAAAGTGGCATTGATTAGCTGGTTTTTCTTCTTCCAAGTATGACAATTTAAATATTACTATTTCAACATAAAATGAATTCATCGCTTTGGACATTTTATGATTTTTTTTCTAATCACAGTAATTCAACTGGTGTATCTCTGGACTATTACTTATTCGAACCAAAAACAGGTTAATTAGAAATATCATTTTTAAACACAACAATGCTTATTTCTGACTTTAAGGTTTTGAGGTTACTTATTTAGCCTGAGAAAGACTGGAGATTTTTATACCCATAAATGTCTGTATCAAAGGCCTCAGAGATTGTTTTCTATTAAGGGTCTTAAAATCTATATATATTCCATATAGTATTCCTTAAGTCAGGGTCAAATTATCCTGATTGCAGTGAAGTCCATCTCAAGGAGTTAAGATACTCCAAACCTGAAACTCAAGAGAATTTTAGTCCAAATACAAACAAAACCATTTTCTCCAAATCATGATTTGTTGTTTGATATAATATTGGGCTACAAGAGACTACCTATGATCCAAGTTAAATTTTTCTTTGGATCAATGCATCTGTGAATGTGCTGAAAGATACCAAATAGTAAACTACCCAGTGATCAACACTGTAGAGTTAATAACTAAAGTTGAAAGCAGGGCAGATTTCTCTTTCAATTTTATATTAATGTCATCTCTCTTTTGAATTTATGAACTTTTTTTCATTTTTCAGTATCAAATTCACCAGAATTTTTAAATCTAGAAAACATCATGGTTTGACTAGCAAATGAAATGGGTAACATTAATATTAAAGCAAAATGCAATTTCACCCTATATTTTTTGTTTACTTTTCCCTTAAATTAGTACACTAAAAATACTGTAAGAGTTCAGTAACACTGAAAATGACCTAGTCCTCCCCCTCCGGCCCTGTTAAATGTTGTTTCACTGGACAGTGGTCAACATTAACAAATTGGGTACTCTTGTAGTCTAATATTGTGTTATAGATGTATTTAAAATGATACAAACCTAAACAAATAAGAGTTCTTAGGGCAAATATTTGGGAAGTTAATGCTGTTTGTCCTATTGTAGACTGGAGGGGGAGGAAGGGAAAGGGAATGAAAGAATGAAGATGTGTTCTATACCAACTCGCCACAAAGAATACAAACGCTAGGTACTACAAGAGTACTAATTTAAAAATGTGAAAAATAGTAATTTAAAAGACAATCACACTAAATGATTAACAGTATAGCATTTTAATACAACACGCCATTGAATATCTCTTTAAACTGCATGTACATTCTTCAACTTTTAATAACTTATTAGTCTATTTCAATACACTCTTACAAGGGTTTTCTTTTTACTATCCCTTAACGATGTTTCCTAAAGCTGACCGGAGCTTCCTACTGAAGATTTATAAGTTTCATATCATCTCCTTTAACTGATGGATTTAAACTTGATCCACTGATTAGCACCACGAACTTCAAACGGTGGGTTGCTGCAGTAGATATGGTGGCCTAAAACATCCAAAGATGGTTCTGCATCCGAGGTGGCGAACTGGACCGCCTCTGCCACTTCTTTCTTCACTTCGGAGTTGATCTCCTTCAGCTCCTCCACACTGCTGAGATCGCTGCTCACCATCTTCTCCTGCAGAAGCATGATGGGATCACTCTTGCTCCTCACGGCCTGCACCTCCTCCCGGGAGCGGTAGCTGATGCCCGGGTCGCTCATGCTGTGCCCGTGGTAGCGGTAGGTCAGCAGCTCCATCACCAGCGGGCCCTTCCCTGAGCGACAGTGGTCAGCAGCGAAGCGAGTGGCCTCGCGAACGCAAAGCACGTCCATGCCATCTACGCGCAGGCCGGGCAGGAAGTAGGCGCGCTTGTAGTACTCGGTGGCGGCCGACGAGCGCTCTGCCGAGGTGCCCATGCCATAGCGGTTGTTCTCACAAATAAAGACGCAGGGCAACTTCCACAGCGCCGCCATGTTGAAGGCCTCGGCCACCTGGCCCTGGTTGGCTGCGCCATCACCGTATATCGTCAAGCACACGCTGCCAGTGCCTAGATACTGGCAGGCCAATGCCACGCCCGCGCCCAGGGGCACCTGCGCGCCTACGATGCCGTTGCCGCCGTAGAAGTGGCGCGCGTACATGTGCATGGAGCCGCCCTTGCCCTTCGCGCAGCCACTGCGGCGCCCTGTGAGTTCAGCCAGGATGGCGCGCACCGACAGCCCTCGCGCTAAGGCCACGCCGTGCGCCCGGTAGGATGTGATGACGTGGTCCGACGGCGTGATGCCCGCCTCCAGCCCCACGCAGCACGCTTCCTGCCCATCGCACAGGTGGCAGAAGCCTCGGATCAACTTCTGCTTATACATCTGGTCGGCTGCGAGTTCCATGCGGCGCACCTTCTGCATGCTGCGGTAGAGGCGCAGCGCGTCCTCGCGGCTCAGCTCCGCCGTGGCCGGTGGGCCCTCCTCCAGGCGGTAGAGGTCGCAGGGCTTGATGGCGAAGGTGGCGGCTCGCGAGAAGCCACGGAGCGCCCGGCGCGCCGGCCCACGCCCCACGAGAGTGCCCGCTGCGCCCAGCATCGTCGTCGTCCTCAAGAGCCGGAGTTAGCGGCGCCCAACGCCCGTCAGGCCCACGAAGTAAGTAGTGCGCTGGCGCTGAGCCACGTGGCGCCACTCCCCGCGAGACTGACGTGATCCCGCGAGACTCAGTGTCCTGACTCCGCGATATTTACTGACCCCGCGAGCCTGAGTGGCCAGGCGTCGCGAGACTGCCCTTATCCACGCATCCTGAGGACCTGACCGCAAGGCTGAGAAGGGAGCTGGTGCCCCGCCTCGCTGGTACACCTGTGGAGGGGCGCCCCACCTAGAGACTCCACACCAGAACCCGCAGCCCCAGGTCCGCTCCGTGGACCCCGCAGCCTGGGCCCGAGTTCCCGTGGTGAGAGGCCTGGAGGACGGCGCAATGCGGCCCAGCACACAGGATCGCCTGACCATCTTTCTTCCAAGTCTTTTTTTTTTTTTTTTTTTTAATCTTTAGAGTATATGTGTTTTATCCAGTTCGTACCTTATTTTGACAAAGGTGTGAATTACTTAAAATTCAAATTATTATTTTCAAAATAAATGACAAAAAAATTTTTCTTTTAGCGGTTGATACCTTCCAAAATAACCAGGTTACCTCTGTTGGCTTTCAGCAGTTGGGCTGCTGGAGGGCCAAGGATTGTAAACCGCGGCTGGACAGGAGTCAAATCCCAGGAGTTTGCTTGTCCTGATCTCCAGAAACGAGGCGTAGTTGAGGTACAGATTCTTCAGTAAAACATTCAGAATATTTCCCATACCTATTTTCTGACTTATCCACTCTCTTTTCGTTTTAGGAGCTTGTATTTTAAGATGTTTCCAGTAAGTTTCCCTAGGCTCAAGTGGTTTTGATTTTTGTTTTTATATCAGGCTAAATTGGATGAGGCTTAGTCTGGGAGACTGAGAAGCATCTTTTTATGTGACACTTTCTATGAGCATTAGAAAGTGTAACTTCCTAGTGACCAATGAAATAGTTTGAACTACAAATCAACAGTAGGGTTTACTTAAAATACAGATCACAAGACAGAAAACACCTTAAACCACGAGCTACAAAAACCATGTATCATTTTCATATTTCGTACCTTTACTAAGTGGTTTTGTACTCCAGTTAAGCCAACCCTAGCTAGGGAGCCTATTCTGTTTAGAATATTAAGTAATTTATCTTAATGCACACTACAAATCAATAGTAGGGTTTACTTAAAATACAGATCACAAGACAGAAAACTCCTTAAACCATGAGTTACAAAAATCATGTATCATTTTTGCGTTTTGTGCTTTCACTAAATGATTTTGTACCCCAGTTAACCCTAACCAGGGAGCCTATTCTGTTTAGAATATTAAGTAATTTATCTAAATGCACGCTCTGCTCTTTTTTTCCTAACATATTTGTAACTTATGGTTTATTACCTAAATTGTCCCATATATATTTCAAAGCAGCTGCCTTCATACTACTTGCAAATGTTATTTTGGATACTTCTTTTGATATTCTTTTTAATTGTATTTGCTATGTTACCTCTTAAAACCAAATCCATTCGCCCGCCTGAAGCATATCATCACTCTTAGTAGGCTGCTTTTTTCCCTCCATTTAAGATTCTACCCTTGGGATTCGTGGTCTTGCTGTGTCTTTTGCCTCCTTTTTGATAGGTAGCCTGTATCTGCTGTTCTCTTTGATTCCTACAGGTACTGAGGATCTCTAGGGAACTTTATCTCCTTAAGAATGAGAAAAATGACTTTGCAGGATGAAATGGTAATCTTAATAGGTCACTGACAGCTGAGCCTTTTCTCAGAGGTATCAGCCAGGTGAACGCTGCCAGAAACACAAGAGTTATCTGGGAAAGTGTGTCAATTTAATCTTATCACGGGTAGCCTGGGCTGTGAAGATGATAGACCTCCCCTTAGGAACTCAGTGTGACAAGGCTAGAACCAACCATGCCAGAGGACAACATGCAAAGATGCTAGTTAGAAACCAGTAGCTGTACTACTGGTTCCCAGTGAAGGTGGTCTTTTTTTTCACATCAGGCTCTTGTTAAGATGATGAATAATAAAATATGACCTTTTGGACATCAGTTGTCGTATACACTCTATCTTCAATTTAAAGATGCATGACTGGAAATGGATTTGCTGAATCACATCTCAGTTAAGCTGACTCATCTCAGTAAGCTTTTCATTTTTATTGCCTTATTCCCAACCTATCCATATTTTCAAAATAAAAGTGAAATTTTCAGATATCACTGTAAACGGTTTGAAACAATCCCAGGAGATGCTGAGCTGTAGATCCTATCCTTAGATAGTATGCAAACTATGGATAGACAATCTGGCCAATGATGTAGGATTCACTTTTTGTCTTGCCACTTCCAGTACTATGTTCCTTGCTGAGCAAGGCTAAGAAGTCATCAACATATTAACCACTGAAATGTTGTTTGCACTTAAATTCCTCATAAATTTGAAGCTTTTAATGTGAAATCTCTCTTTTAATCTACATGAAGTTAAAGAAAAACATGAATACTGTTTTATAAGGCCAATGACAGATTTTATATTTAATTAATAAAAAGCCTAATAAAAGAGGAGCCGTGATTAGAATAGCAGTTATTCATGCTAGTGTGACTGAATTTCACATTTCTTATCTGATGTTTGATCCTACAGGAGCATTTCTGAAGCTACATTAAAAGATAAGTAATATAGATGGCATATAAGATAATTTTAACTAACAGAATATTGTGAGAACAGTATGTTTGAATGATACATTTACATTTCAAGAGTAATCATTGTGCTTTTTCCCAGATGCTAAGTGAAGAAAGCTGTTAAAATAGTATGTTTTAGAAAAATATCAAATGTCCTCATATAATTACTAGAAAAATACTTTTATAGCTGTTAAGATTTGACAATTAAGAATGATGAGCAATAAGTTGATGCAAAAATTCAAGATTTATATATAACTCAGAATTCTTCTTCCCATTTGGTCTATTGATTTATTATGTCAGTATCTTATATTTTGCAAAATAATGATTGCTGTATTATGTCAGTATCTTATACTTCACAAAATAATGACAAGCAAGGTTTCTATCTAATATTAAAGTAAGGGATGCAGGGATGCTACTCCAGGACATTGGAAAACCCTAAACAAAAACAAAACAAGTGTTTTTTGTTTCTTATCCTTAGCCAACCATATTTCTAAAATGTTAAGTAAAAATTTAGGACAAATTACCACAAAGACTTGATGAGAATTGAGAGGTAAAGTGAGTGTTCCTTATTCTACCAGAAAATGATGATTTGAGAAAAGGAAGGCTATTGGGGGTTGGTTTTTGAAGCAAGTTGTCATTTTCCTCATTGATGACCAGAATGAGCTGAATCTTCAGGCTCAAGTGTCCAGTGCCCTATTCCTAGTGTTTAGGATAAGAATTTACAGATACAATAAACATATTCTAAAATAAAACTACAAAAGAAAACTCTCTTCCATGTTAATCAGCTATGTTATTAGACCTGTTAATGACTATGGTCAAGGAAAGAGGAAATAAAATTTCTTGAATATGATAGGGTGTCAAGATTTGCTATGTTTTAGTGTCTCAATCAGAAGAAAACTGGTAGAGCAGTCAAGGGTTTTGAACTGCATGGTATTTTGAAGTTTGTTTAGCCACAGTCCACTTTCAAAAAAAACCTTAGCAATTCAATAAATTTGTGTGGCAAACCAATTTAAGGAAGCCCAAGTCAGATTTAAGTCTATTTGTATTTCAATGTTTTGGTTCCATTTATTGGGAAAGTGTTTTGTTCAGCAGATTTTTATTCTCACATAGTTAAAACTCCCATGTTTCAAGTTGTGTAAATACACATACATTTATTCCCAGAAACCTTAATTTTAATGGAAAGTATATATGAATGTGATCATAAAAATAAGCTGTATGTAAGCAGTAGTGAAATGGAGACTTTTCTATCGCCAGTTTTTTTGTAATGTGCCTATTTCCTTGTAACTGTGCCACTTGTTTCTTTCTTTACCCTCCAACAGACCTTCCTTCTAATAACTGTGTAAAATACTATGTGTTTCTAGTAACATGGCCACATGATAACATAATCAGTATGCTTACTTCTGTAGATTTTGCTGCTTTGGAGAAGACCTTAGTGTCACTACATTGAAAAGGACTATTGGCAAAACTCCAGGGTCTTGCTGCCCCCTAGATGGGAGCGTGAGCAGCGCACTTGCCCAGAACACATCTGAGACTGACAAGCAAAGCACTTGTGTGCTAGCTTAACTCTACCTACTGCTGGCCACATCTTTAATTTCCTTGCCCTCTCTTGTGTCTAAGCTGGGGCACAGTGTTCCCTACATAGTCTTAACTTAGATGATTTTAATGGATCCCATCCTAATGGGGTCACAATAGATTTTTATAAATATGTGCAGATGCACCACGGAATCTTTCTTGGCAAAATAACATTTTTAAATATTGATAAAATTTTAGATTGTTATGTGCATTAATCTGAGACTTGAGGCATCCTTGTCAAAACTGTCCAGCCAAGTAATGGACTCGCATCTCCTTGATGGTGACGCAGCATTAACAGCGTCTGCTCAGTTGAACTTCACAGGGCAGGTGATGATCATTCAAACTCCCAATTTTCCAAAGCCTGAGGATGTATGTGGTGTGCAAAATTCACATACCCAGTAAAAGTAAACTAGAAAAATATTAATTCTCTGCTTACCTATCATGTATATATGCAGCACTTTCCTCTACATGTTCCCTTCCTACACTAGGTAGAAGTAGAAGGCACTCAATATAATTTTTCTTTTTCTGGGAGAATTTTTCCATAATCCAGTTCATATGGAGTTGTGTAGTGAGCTTGCCCAGATTTTCTGGCACTGCTTAAAGAAAAGGACACATCAACTCTGAATGACAGAGGCAACAACACATGAGCAGCTATCATAAAGACAATAAAACTAATGTAGTGCATGCTCGGCAATGCTTACAATGACAGTTTGTCTTTATTAGGATCAATGATGAACAAATTAAAAATAGAGCACTGCAGTCAAACTGCACCAACAAAACAACACTGTAATTTTGTCAATTTGTACAGTCTCCTTTAATCCAGTACTATAGCAGAGCTAAAAAGGCACATTGGGAAATATGAATATCAAAATCTTATA